ATTTGCTCCAATTTTGTCACAGTAAAACCTAATAGGTTATTTTTGGGGGGATATTTATTTTCATTGAGGCTAAAGGCTAAAGCTACATGTAATTGGGAGAGGCCCTGGGGAGCAGAGTCGGAGTTGTAGAAAATTTGAATGAAAAGTGAAGTGTACATTGTACCTGAAACTCAATGGTGCAAGTGTCTAGAACGTATTGTCATATTAAATACAGTATGTACGCAATAATACTGTACATTATTTTTTTAATCTTTAAAATTTTAAGGTTTGAGGAGCGTTTTGGTGTGGACCGAACAATACCAGCTGCGAACTCTACACGCTGGAGATCTGTCTTTCTTCAACTCAAAGCTCTACAGAACCTACCAGGAATTGATTGTCGAGCGATTGCTGAAATCTGCGAGCCGGTGGAGTTCAACAACCTCATTTTCACACGCCAAGAGTGGGCTCAACTTGCTGAATTGACGACAATTCTGGAGCCTTTTGCTGATGCAACAACACTCACACAAGGTATGTTCAGGCTCCACCTAGACAAATTTTTGGTGATGGCCCATTTGGACCACCAAAATCATTCATTCTTTTTTGTTGGCCCAAGCATGGAATCAGGTGGCCCAAAACATAATAAATATAGTTCATGTACTAGTACATTCTTGGACAATTTTTTGACGGCCCAATAATGGCTACCAAAATATATTTTTTAATCTGGTTGTTCAAAGCTAAACTCCAGTGGTCCCAGACTGCCATGTCACAGTGAGAGGGCTACTGCTATTGTTGAGCCCCTAGATATGCTGTATGAAGTAATAAATCTAATATTAATGACACTTTGATCACCTTTAAATTTGGAAATAAATTATATTTTTAGTGTAGCAACTCTCATTTATCTTTTGCATTAGGGTATTCTACTCATTATTACAAAGCTATATTAACTTAATCTTAAGTATCATAGTGAATATTGTAATATACTTCAGGGCTACACACGAAGCATTTTTTTCCTTGCTGGTCAAAACAAGTCATTAATCACTTGTCGGGCCAGTAACCAATTTTATTAGCCACATTTGAAAATTCTTGGGGCCTGCAGCTAATTATACTCGTCCAGGACTATCGGATCAGTGCTTGTGTGGAGCCCTGTATATTACAGTATCCAAGCAAATTATTCCCCTTTTTTTTCTTTAGGTTTAAGAAGAAATTGAATATTTTGCTAAAGTTGTGCTTGTTCTTAATTTCGCATTTCTATAAATTTGTTTAATTGACAGGTGATCAGACAGCAACCATTACAATGGTGGTGCCAGCCATCCTAGACCTGAACAGTCATCTTTGCAAGTGGGCAGATGAAGCCAAGTTTTGCCGGCCGATTGTAAGGTGTCTTCAGTCTTCCTTGAAACGGCGATTCAGGGGGATATTTATCCGATGTCAGATGGTTGAGGGGAGCGGGCCTGCTGAGGATGAGCCCTTCTTCGAGAAGCTTTTCTTCATGGCCCCTGTCATCGACCCACAGTACATGCTGGAGTGGGTGGATGATGTCAGTATGCCAACGTGGTCTCTCGATGAAACGGAGGAAAAGAGGAGAAGTGTAAAGGAAACCCTGAAAGGTACAATTCAAAATGTTCAGAGCAATTCCATGAGAATCGCTCAGAGTATGTAACATGAATAACATAAGATTATCTGCTGAAATATTCTTTTAGAAGAATTTGGTTCAAAAATGTATTTACTGTACTGCTTTTATTTGTTTGATGCAAAACTAATGATAATCTTTATTATCTGATGAAATATTCTTTTTGAAGAATTTGCTTCAAAAATTTATTTACTGTACTGCTTTTATTTTTTGATGCAAAACTAATGATAATCTTTCACAATTTTAGGATGAGTACTTAACGTTACTCATGTCACATACTCTAAAAAATTCTCATGGAATTACCTTTCAATTATTTTGTTAATTAGGCTTCAGGCTGTAATTGCATATTCAGCAAGACTAAGACCGTCCATGGTTGCAAGAAAATGAATTATATTGAAAATTCTTCTGTTTGTATTTGTGTGTGCTTGCAATCGATGCTATTCCTAATTACTTTACTCTTGATTTTGCACATATCACTAA